AAGATGCCCCTGATGCATTTCTCCAGAGGCGTCTGGCAAGGACAAAAATCCCAAAACACAGGATTCTCACTCCCATAAACGTGTACCCCCCCCCCCCCCACCACCACTACCAGCACTGCCGTTTTTCTGCACTCCAGTCTCCTATGTGCCTGTGAAAGCTTGTTCCCTGAGGCAGGAAAACCGGTTTCAAACACAACAAACCCCATGCAAAAACTGCCGTATCTGGAGCAGTGTGACTCTCTCCCCCGCCCAGCTCTCACAGAAGCAAGCGGGTTTATTTCCCCAATAATCCCCACAAAAATGTTCTCCATTCTTATTTCATATACTTTTCACATATAATACCATGCACAATATACACACAATGTCTAGACACTGGTTATCTTACTTCGCAGGGTTCCAGACTGTAACCATTTTTGGAGAGAATGAAAGTAAATTGTATAACTAGGCACACCAGTCCGACTTGCAAATATGCCCCCCCCCCATTTATTTTTTAAACCATCATTGTATATCAGGTGAAACACCCAGAGAGAGCAAGGTGTGTGTGTGTGTGTGTGTGTGTGTGTGTGTGTGAGGGAGATACGGCACTTTCCCACCGCAGGAACGTTTATTACCAAGGAGGAACTTCTGTCGTGTTTCCACCACGGGAACTCAGATGGATTGTAGTTCCTCAGAGCTACTGCTGAGGTGAGGTTTACAGTGACAGCTTGCTGATTGGTTGACCACAACCCAGTGTTACAGGAATTTCAGTTCCCCCATGTCTCGTGCGCTGATTTGAAATCATGACATCACCCTGCTACTTAATAGTCCGAATTGTCTGAATCAGCATGCGACAGGGAGATGATCAAATTACCCAAATAACAAAACTTGCAAAAGCTAAGTAAATTATCATATTTCAATGTGATAATATTCCAAGTGTGAAGACAATACCAAAACAGTGAAAAAAATAATGTCTTAAACATCAAATTCAACATATCCTCCTGAGACCACACCCATTCATTTATGTCCATTGTAGTGGACATTTTGTTTTTGCATCTATCTTTTCACTAATGTTAGGAAACATATTTATTCCTGTTGTACACTAAAGAGGACATGCTGTGAAATTTGAAAAAATCTAGATTGTAAGATGTCTTATTTCCTCCAAAGACAAATAACCTAAAATTGAAGGACACTTTTTTCCTTGGGTCTCAGGAGGATAGACATCTTGGGATTCCTGTTGAGTGAGTTGCATAATGCGAGTTCAAACAAACAAATCACAACAAAAGCAATGCAGGATCATACTTGTGTCTTTATGCATATCGTGTAAAATTCCTAGAAGACATTCAACAGACAAGATTATTTTCAGACAATGACTCTTTCAAATGTTGGCCTTAAACACAAATTTTGTTGACAGCTTCACTCCAGTTCATTTCTCAATATCTGTAACTTAAGATTCAGCTGTTTTCTCCCATCATCAAGATTTAATAGGATGATCTGGGCAAACTCAAAGAAGCCACTCAGCTTTTCAGGGCAGCTCAAATCAGTCCCAACAAAATCACCGGTGCATCACTCCAAAATCTGCGGGACATTCCAACCTGATCCTCAAGGGTGACTGACACATGGCGTGTGTCATAGGGAATTCCCCTGAGGAACGTCGCCTGAACTGACCACAGCCACGAGAACCACTGTCCTCTCACGGTTTGCCTCCATCTCGTCCTGAAAAGGAAATAGATATTATACACGTGTGAGAATAATTGAACAAATCATTAAGCTAATAAAAACAACAAAAAAAGAACTAACTGCAAGCTTGGGAATTTGTTAGGGATTAACTTGTTACATTATGTGTTAATGTTTTAGGATTGCAATATACTGTTTCACAATGTATTACACAAAGCTAAGAACACAAAACTATTTAAGCTCATAATTAACCTCAATTTTTTCTTCCACGTAATTAGAAGAATGTTCTACTCCAAGTCATCACTTGCCTTTTTAGCACAAAATATGTGGAAATGAGCAATGCATAAAAAACATGCAGGTGTTGAAGACCTCTGGCTGCATTGTTGTCATTCTTGTCCTGTAGCACAGACAAGACATGTATAGCAGATATTAGAGCACACACACACACACACACACACCACCTGTTTCTCACCTAGACTTCCATTCTTCCGTTTCTAGTTCAGCTTCAGCAACTGAGGTGCCAAGAGCAGAAGAGAAGGAACACAGCAGATGTAGAGCTTCACCGAAAACAAAGAGACAGATGACCTGCCTGTAAGCCTTGTGAGGTACGAGGGGAAAGATTCCTCAGTGGGGGGTGGGGCAGTATATCTAAAATTATTATCACTGTATTTTTCACTTTTTGGACGGTGACGGTATTATATCACAGTATTACCTTTTAAAGAAAATTATGAGGAGTAGTATGTTCTGTCCCTTTATGTAAATAAAATATTTTGATTGTATATTAAGTACATGTATCATTTTCAACTGGGAGACATAAGAAAGTATGAATGGCATGTATTTTGCAAAAAAGCCAGATGATCCTGATATAAACTATTATGTGTTACGACAAAACTAAAATGGCCAGTTATGTCGTACCAAAAGAAGAACACTTTTGTGGTCTTTTTTTGAGCCAAACTGTATAAGGAAGCAAAAAAAACACACAAATGAAAGCATGAAGGCTCACAGCTATTAAAACGTACATTCTCAGGCACGATGACAGATTCTCTGACACCAGGTTCTGCAAGAGGAACCAGCTGATCAATATGCTCAATTATTTCCTGTGTTGCTCTTTGTGATACGTGGAGAACAGTGTTTTCAAGATGAAGCCAGGCAGCTTAATCTGCAACTGTCCCCCTAAACTGTCAGTCTACTGGCTACTTCAGATATGAATTCATTTTCATCCAAGGGTTCTGCTGGTCCGTGTTCGACGTCAGTGTTTGACACACCCCGCACAGCCACTCATCATGCATCATTGTCGGATGTATTCTGATATTCCCTGCATTTCAGCATTATATGTGGAATAAACATTTGTTTTAAATCTGTAGGTGCATGGACATTTTGTGCTATCTTTAAATGCCCCCCTGAGATGAATAAACACATTTATCTCAACAAACGGCTGCTTAAAATCACACACAAGGCAATGAAATTCAACTCTGATTCAAGACTGTAATTTTGTAATAATATGAATTCAACTTAAAGAAACTAATTGAGTTATTTCCAAAAATCAATTTTAGTTGGTTAATTAATAAGAATGAGTGAAATCAGTTTATTTTGGAATGTTAAGTAATGTTATCGTTTTGCAGAGCTGTTACGATTACTCCATTAAACTCAATTACTAATTAATTCATTTAAACCACGAACTTCTTTACACAGCGTGTAGAGTATGGAATAGTCTTCCTGCTAGTGTAGCGCAAGCTAAAACCCTGGGTTTTCAGCGATAGATAATACCTTAACAACTCTGAGCTATTAGTTAAGTTCCCCCCAAACGAGTTTGATGGGCCGAATGGTCTTCACCCGTTTGTAAATTTATGTTCTTATATACTAATTAGCATATCGATTAAAATTTACCATCTCGTCTACGCGCTAATATATAGGGAGGCGTCGCATAGGAAATGAAAATAAATAGCGAAAACCATCTGTTGTGTGGAAGCACTTCACATTAAAAGTGAATGAAAATGCAGTCGTCTGTCGGTATTGCAAAGCAGAACAAAATATTAATAATCGCTGTTAAAAGTTAGCACCGTCATTTAGCCGTATCACCTTACATAGTACGGTACATGTTAACCATATAATATTGGTTTTAATGAACAGATATATTGCGTGTTTTGTGCTATATGTTTGTACTGCTGGAGGTTGTGGTTCTAATTAAAGACACTCATGCTGACCAGATGTTACCGTTCTGTTACCCGAGGTATAGTGCGCCATCTACTGGTAGGGAGAACTCACATACAAGGATCAGAACACCACATACACTATATTGCCAGAAGTATTGGGACACCCCTCCAAATCACTGAATTCAGGTGTTCCAATCGCTTCCATAGCCGCAGGTGTATAAAATCAAGCACCTAGGCATGCAGACTGCTTCTACAAACATTTGTGAAGGAATGGGTCGCTCTCAGAAGCTCAGTGAATTCAAGCGTGGTACCGTGATAGGATATGCCACCTGTACAATAAGTCCATTCGTGAAATTTCCTCTACTAAATATTCCACAGTTAACTGTTAGTGGTATTATAACAAAGTGGAAGCAGCTGCAGGAAACAACAGCAACTCGGCCACAAAGTGATAGGCCACGTAAAATCAGAGCGCGGGGACAACGCATGCTGAGGCGCACAGTGTACAGAAGTCGCCAACTGTCTGCAGAGTTAATAACCACAGACCTCCAAACTTCATGTGGCCTTCAGATTAGGTCAAGAACAGTGCATGGAGAACTTCATGGAATGGGTTTCCATGGCCGAGCAGCTGCATCCGAGCCTTACATCCCCAAGTGCAATGCAAAGCTTCGGATGCAGTGATGTAAAGCACACCGCCACTGCACTCTAGAGCAGTGGAGACATGTTAAAGAACAGGAACTCCCTCTACGAGAACGCCTCTCATCGTTTTCATTGGTTCTTACGCCATTACGTGTTAAAGAACAGGAACTCCCTCTACGAGAACGCCTCTCATCGTTTTCATTGGTTCTTACGCCATTACGTGTTAAAGAAGAGTACGATGCCATTTCTACTAGAAATGAGTTGTCAAACCTGGCTCATAGCATTGAGTTAATAAAAAATAAAAAAAACCTGGCTCATATATGCCAACGCATGTACTGTAAACCCATGGATTTCAAAGTGGATTTTCTTTAAAATGCTACTGTGAAAGTTGACCAAATTTGGTCGAGATATAGCCTAGGCCCTTGCCTTTCAGGGGGTACCAGATATGTTTGTATCTTAGGGGATAATCCTGAGAAATGAGCTGTCCAACCTGGCTCATAACATAAAATTATATGGACTTCAAAGTGCATTCTTTTAAATGGTATATTAAATCTGACCAGATTTGTTTAGGAAATAGCCTTGAACGTTGCCTTTCAGATGCCGTATGACTTGTTCATACATTATGGGAAAGTAAGACATTAATTGCATTTAAATATACCCTGTACTTTGTATATACGAGTACTCACCCTTTTCCTATGCGCGATCGCTTTATTTTCCAAAACCGTAATGTACGGCTGATACCGTAATGTCATGTCTATGCGTGCACCTCACATTTTAAGCGCAGATGATTTGACCGTGTTTTGGCGAAGCACGAAGGCCAGGGACATAATCTCTGCATGGCGCTGGACCGCCAGCAACAGCGGTGGACATGAACTAACAAGATTTAATCCTCATATAACTTTCTGTAACACAAATGTTTGTGGTGTTGCCAGGTTAACATTTGTCGTTGGTGTTACCTTATTAACGATACGGCTGCGCAACTTCAGCGTTAACTTTAACAAGACACGCTCTTTCCGTTGTTAATCGAGACAACATTAAGACTTAAGGAAAAACGCATTATAAGTTACATGCAAACCTAACTCACCTACATGTGCCACTTTTTATGCGGGGCGGTTCCCGTGGGGGGCGTTCCTGTTAACGCCCTCCGATAAGATGTAATTCGATCCTTCTCGTTTAAACGCATAACTGGGCGCAAAACACGCCGTTTTCTAGTGTTTCCTCCTGCCTGAGTGTCTGATCTAGCGGAGGTGGGAGCTGCAGTCTGTTTGTCTAAAGTGAGCTTTATGCAAGAAACTCGCGCAGTGTTTCCAGTTTCTTTTCGCACTAATCTGTGCTTCTGGTTAGTTTTGTAAATATTTAACGATGTTGTTCAGTATCCGTATTTGATCGGTACACGTATTTGTTTCAGTGTGTATTTAGTTATTTTGGTTCCGTTACCGGTTTTCCTTCATTGTAGCCAAGGCTGATTGTTTTTTTTTGTCTGCTGTCATGTCTTATGGAAAGTACATCAATATTGTTATGCACGAATTTAAAAAATAACTTTGTGGCTATAATTAAGTTTGATGGGAGTGTATATATCATGTTCGCCAAAATGCCTGAGCCGTGGTCTTATAATCAACGTTGACATTTTTTCTTTTGACACTTTTACCGCAGATTTCCGGCATATACTCCAGTCATGGCTCTTTCTACATGTAAGAAAACTTCTTCCGAGAAAACACCGATTTTCCAGAAGACTCCTGAGGGCCTGGTGTACAGGATCCCGTCACTGATCTACATTGAGGACAGTCACACATTGCTGGCCTTTGCAGAGGAGCGCACCTCTCCATCTGATGATCATGCGAAGAGCCTCGTCTCGCGGGAGGGGAAGGTATCCCCCGATAAAACCATTGAGGTAATGGTAGCAGCACCCCCACTCGTATTTTCAGATCGGGGGGGTCACTCCTGCACTCTTAGGTGCCCTGTTTTACCCACGTTTTTTCTGAGCAAATTTTTAACACTTTAATCCCTCCCCCCCTCAGTGGTCACCCTTACAAAGGCTGAATTCAGCAAGTTTGCCGGGTCATCGCACCATGAACCCCTGCCCAGTGTATGAGAAGAGCTCCAAAATGATCTTCCTCTTCTTCATCTGCGTCAAGACTGAAGTATCGGAACAGCAGCAGATTAAAACCGGTAAAAACGCTGCCAGACTTTGCTGTGTCACCAGGAAAGAGGGGGAGCAGCGCTGGAGCGCCGTGAACGATCTGACTGAGATTGTGATCGGAGCAGAGATTGCCCAGTGGGCCACGTTTGCTGTGGGGCCCGGACACGGCATCCAGCTGGCGAGTGGGAGGTTGGTGATTCCAGCCTACAGGTACTGCGTGACCAGCAGGAACCCGCAAAGTGCCCGGCCCTATGCCTTCTACTTCTACAGCGACGACAAGGGTAAGAATTGGAGGCTGGGTCAGAATGTGGAAGGAGAGTCCTGCGAGTGCGAGATGGCTGAGATCAGGGATGACAGGGGCCAGACCCGCCTGTACTGCAACGCCCGACACATCAACCAGGAGTGCAGGGTGGAGGCTTGGGGGAAAAGCCAAGAGGTCTGCTTCACAACGTTCTATCCGGCTCCGAAGCTGGTACAGGCACGGTTCGGGTGCCAGGGCAGCGTGGTGAGCCTTCCTGCGCCAGAATCCCATGCAGGCTCAGGCACCAGGTCCTGGCTGCTCTTCTCCCATCCCACCAGTACCAAGGGCAGGCTGGACCTGGGGATCTACCTGAACAAGAACCCCTTCCAGCAGTCGAGCTGGGAGCAGCCCTTGGTGCTGAACCCCGGGCCCAGCGGATACTCCGACCTGGCGTCCTGTGCTGATTACGGCTTCTTCGCCTGTTTGGTGGAGTGCGGTGAAAAAAAGGAGACTGAGCAGATAGCTCTGCTGCGCTTTAGCCTTGATGATGTGCTGAAGGCTATCGGTGAGAAACCCTAGGTTTAACCTGCTCTATCTTTAGCTGTCCTTTCGTATCTTTCTCGTGCCTTTTGTCAATAACATTTCAGCCACAGACACTGATTAACGCCCGAGTAAACGTTACCGGAGCATTCAGGCTCAGTGCTACATTAACGAATTTCAGTTTAGTACCTTAACTGTGTAGAAGTTACTTTGACATGTTTAAAGGTTACTAAAGTGTAGGTTTGTGAAAAACTCCATTATATCCGCTGTGTAATTTGCCTTTTTTAGTTTATTAAAGTGTATTCATTAAGCTCAGATTGTAACGTAGACGCTGCTCTCATTCAGGACAAAGTAAACCTTTATTTTTTGCTTAGCATATTGTATTCCTGCTTCTGTTTTATCTGTAGATATGTTGATCAAGTTTGGAACCTCCCAGTTTCTTCCAATCCTCCTGCAGCAAATATCCCCGTAGCCTCATAAATTCTCTATGCATGTCGTCAGTTATGTTAACCCTTCTGCAAGCTCTACTAATGTCTCTCAGGGGTGGTGTGACCCATAAGGCCTTAAAAATGTGTGTAGTCTTTAAATATAGAAAGCTTAAAAATCTTTGAAGAGCTCCATAAAAACTCTGATGCGATGTGTGTGATTTTTATGTATAACATGCAAGAACTTTAAAAATAAAATCATTAAGTCAGACTGTGGAATTTGATTCCTTTGTTTTATTTACCTAGTGTGAAATAATTATTGATTCAATCTATATCTCAGGCTTTACCCAGAAGAACATCAGGTGCCTGTACCAAAGCCGCCTGGCTAGTATCAGGCGTGATGATTTCCACACGCACCCTGTGAGGAGGGTCCCTTCAGTGCCCAGCCCACACTGACCATGAAGCCTTTCCTCACTGGTGCAGTGAGAACCAACCATATTAACGAATCCATTGCTGTACTTAGGGGACACTGGGGATAGTTGTAATGATGTTTTACATTTTGCCTGTACCTCAGACATCTTTAAAGGAATCACATTCAAAATTTGACACAAATTTGTATCCTCTATTAAAAGGTCTTATCTTTGTATCACAAACAGACAACAAATGGTCTAGCACATTGAGTAAAATGTTACAATTTACCCCATAGTCAGGAATAGCTGCCCCGGGTAAAATGTAAATGTATAAATGATGTCAAAATATTTCAAGTTATTCAAAGTTTTTGCTTTTTTTTCTTTATTCAACAAAAGTTATGGGCATATATGCATATGTGTACAATGTATGTTAATCACAACTAAAATCAAAGATCATAAAACCAAACAAAATGTGCAATTGTGCATCAGTTTTAATAACTGAACTATAAAGTGCGCGTCTGCGTGTGTGCGTGCGTGCGTGTGTGTGTGTGTGTGTGTGTGTGTGGTGTTAGTCACCATCAGAATCACCATGCTGACAGATGTATTGAGCTCCTCCTGGTGTACAGGCTTGACGGGCCCACCTTGGCCAGACTGTGCATTTCACCCAATTTTCCCTTGACTTTGAAATGTTCAATACCTACAATGCAGAAGGTTCGTGGGCTTGAGAAGTGACCAGGTGGACAACTGGAGATATACCATGTCATCTCTGGTCAGGAGACCAGAGATGACAGGGGACTCCAGTGCAGGAGACCGAAGGTTTTATTTGGGAGACTAGACAACCAAATCCTAATTGCAAGGTCAGGGACGTGCTCAAAAGAGGAGATCCAGGAAGGTCTGTAGCTGAGTATGCACAAGATTGGGAGTAGGACCACCTGGCACGGTGGGCAGGAGTAGGTAGACCAGAGCAGGCAGGCGGGAACTGGATCAGGCTGGATCAGGACAGGCAGGAACAAGCAGAGCAGAAACAGACGGAGTCGAGACAACATGGGCCAGACAGAAGACTAAGAGAATGGAATGCTCATTTCCGCGCATCTGGCAACAATACTTCACAACGACGAGGTTGCCAGCGTGTCGTTTTGTGGTGCAGGAGGGGAGGAGCGCCAATTCCCCGTTACTGCAGGTTCCCCACCCATGAGGGGTGTGACAACCGTTAGAAATATCTCAGACCGTGGCAACCATGAACAAGTTTACCTTGTTAAGAGCAACAACATTAGCACTCAAAACTTGTATAAAACATATTTACATAGGCGCATAATAAAAATGCATTAAGTTTGAACAATGTAAGTGCGAAGCAGGCACTGCTATCACTAAAATAAATTAAGTCAAAGAATTACTTTGATACAATGCTGGATGGGCTAATATCGGGCGTGGCGATCTCCGTCATGGGGGTTTAGGGAGCGTGCCTTATGGGGAGAGTGCCTAATTAGAGACCCCCCAACACCAAGACCTCAGTGCTCTGCCAGCGGTGAGCAGCAGAGCCCCTTCTCACCGCTAAGCTGTATGGGAACAGGAGAGGCTGCATTGTCCAGCGTTTCAAAGGCCAGTGCAGGTAAGTCCACATATCTTCAACCCATTTTGGGTTTCTCTGCTTTATACAAAGGCGTGAAGTGTGGAGGATCCCCCCCCCCCCTTTTGGAGCACCGCTTTCCCCACCTAAGTGAGAAAATCCGATATCTTTTCACGATCCTGTGACCTCAGATATGACAGGTCTTGTGGCCATAGAGACGAGGCACATGGGGAGCTGTAAAAGCTGCCTGCTCATTCTTATGGGCGGAGCCTGACAATGAAGCAGAGCCTCGAAATGGGACTCCGCCCGGTCTTATCGGCTCCGACGGCCAGCCCAGGACCTCTTAGAGCGTTATGACTATTGGGGTGAGCAAGATGCCATGAGCTTCTATAGTTACACCAGCAGCAAGACCTTTGGCATCAGCACCTCCAGAATCTCCCTTTCCCAGGTCAGCTGACCCCCCGCCGCCTCAGCCCTCTGCTTACTCTCATCCAGCCTTTTCTGTCACTGGTAATTGCACTGAACATCCAGCAGGGGGAGCCAAAGACACACGACTTGACTCCACAAATGAAGAACATGCGTTCTTTGTGGCTTGACGGTGGGGTGGGGGGTGTTGATAGGACATGGCCGCTTTTAAATAAAATCAGACGTGGAGGCAAGGTGAGTTGCTGCAATGCTCCTGTGATGAGTTTTTCGATGTATCACTGTCACAGTCTGAGGCAGCACAAGGCTGCGTGTCCCCCTGCCGGCCCCCATGGGAAGGTATCTCACTACAAAGTCCTTCATTTACCCGTCAGGGTTGTCGTCTTTTTTTCCTTTCTTTTCTTTTTTCCTCCTTTTGTTCAAAGCAGCTTACAGACTCACCCATACGTTTTCAGAGGCTATTTATTGTAGTAGAAATAGGGCTTAATTTGATGGTATAACAGCAGCGTCCCCCAGACCTAGAGCCCATTGTTTTCTTGTCCAGGCCTTTAACCGCCACGCCACCTGCTCTGCTTGTGTGGTTTTTATTGGGTTTTCACTGGAAGCTCAGCCTAGCTGCACTTGTGCCTAGTGCCGGTGTGTAGTATGTATGTATGTGTGAAATGAGGAGTGATCCTGCATTTGCAGGAGTACATTGGAATGCTTCTCTTTGCTGACCCCATCTCACTGTCCATGAGACACACAGGCACATATGCAGGTGAGAGCGAGCTTGGGGGTGACAGCACTGGGTCAGCCAGTGTGCAGTGCCTCTGGAGCTGGGGGTTAAGGCCGCCTGCACCAGTCGGGTCAGCTCCATCGTCAGCGACTCACGATCGGCCGCCTCGGCCGCCTTGCCCTCCCCTGGGGCCCCCCCATGCTGGAACTGGGTCCGCTCGCCTTCCTCCCACCCTTCTCCTCTTGCCTCCGTTCTTGCAGCACATCGGCCTGTCCATGTTCTCCCCGTCCCGCCGACCAAAGCGCATCTACCAGATGACCTACGGGGTCCTGAATCTGCCCCGAAACCCGCTGCTGGACTGGACCTTCGGCCACTCGCTCATCAGCTGCCACGTGGAGCATCACCTCTTCCCCTCCCTGTCTGACAACATGTGTCTGAAGGTAGGGCACCCCCTACAGGCTAAGGCCGCACCTGCATTCAGGATGAATCCCTTTGCTCTTGTGTGTCTGCAGGTCAGATTTCTGTGACCTCTTGCTAGATCATATGTGCTGACAAATTAAGGGAGTGATAGCCGATGGTCTAAGCAAAGATCTACACGGTAAGACCTGAGATTCAGTGTTGGGTCATGGCTGCTTGGAGCCCAGCCTGGGATTACAGGACTCAAGGGAATCAACATGCTGGATGAGATGGCAGACCATCACAGAAAGAGACACCATAGTTTAAATATCAATGTGGTTTATCTAGGCAGGATAAAGGCGTTCTAGGATCCCACTCGCACCTTTGGCCACAGTGAAATGCTGCTTTCACATACTAATCTGCACTTTAACCTGCAGCAGAGCTTCTCATTTCCCGCTTGGTATTTTATTTGCTGGAAGATCAGCCTTTAGCATGAGACACAAGCACAGCAGACAGCTATGTGCTGAACCAAGATGGCGAAGTCCGCAAACTTCATTAAACGATGTCGACTACGTAACCACTAAGTCACACGCAAAAGCTTTAATTATCCCAGAAATGTTTCACTTTTACTAGATCTACAGCTATAAAGGGAAAATATACTAATTGAGATAAATTAATCGTGTTGTGTAATACATTTTCGACAATGACCACTGGATTAATGCACTGTTAATAAACTGAAGATTTTTAAGACTAATTTGTCTCTTAAACAACCTGTTGCAGTTGTTTAGATGATGGAGGGGGAACAAGAAAAGTAAAATTTTTATGTTTGGTAGAGCTGGAGGAAAATTGGACATAAATGAACAACACAAAAAAATGTCAATAATATCATATATGGCACTATTGCGGCAACTTAAAGCAGCACAGGGGGAATTCCTTCACTGCAACAGTGTGAATTTGGAGTCTGTCTAGGAAAGAGAAAAGTACAGTGACTGATGTAGCCTAGGAGATTATGATTATCAAGTAGTTACCAGATAATTCCTGTTTCTTTGTTATATGGGTATGAAAACCGTTCTCGTAATTCAGTGTTTTTTATAACAATTGCATAAAAGTCACATCAATTTTGGAAACAGCTGGTTTCAGAGATAAGGTGTCATGGACTCGGGAGTTTCTGACATGGGGGCGGGGCATGGTGCAGGCAGGAAAAGGTGACCAATCCACTGGCTGCTCGCAGGAAAAGGTGGCCAATCCACTGGCTGCTCTCAGGAAATGGGGAACCACAAGGGAACAAAACTAAAAGGGAAAAACAAAGACTAACTACAAAGGGTCAGGGCAAGAAGGGGCGGGCAGTACAAACATTAAACAGAATAACTCCTAACATTCTGAAATACACATGAAATACATTACTGACATAGGTTGACCCACCAGGGAACTGAACTAAGACAGGAATTTAAATACAGAAACTGAAACGGTTAATGATGCAGCAGAATTTCTCATCCTACAGAACAACAAATGTTGGATCATTTGTCCTCACTTGCTCTCTCTCATTCTTTGACACACGTATCTTGTATCTAGGGACAAGGCGGGACCTGTTTCGTACAGACCAATGAGTGGTTTGGACAAGGCGGGACCTGTTTTGTACAGACCAATGAGTGGTTTGTGCAACAACACACCAGCACTGGACACTGCTGCACACATCATAACATTGGCAGGAGCGTGGCTCCTCCTCCCCCGCCAGCCAAGGCCGCACTGCAAAGCCCCCGCCAGTGAGCAGATTCGGCACTGCGGGGAGCTCAGCTGTCCTCCTAGAACCTCACGCAGTGAGGGACGCTGCGGATTCCTCCCTGTTCCCGTACGGCGCATGTGCTGAGAGCTCCGTCCATCTGGAGAACCAGCATGCATCTCCCACTGTCAGGTGTGTGGGTCATTCAGAGAACCAGCATGCATCTCCCACTGTCAGGCGTGTGGGTCATTCAGAGAACCAGCATGCATCTCCCACTGTCAGGCGTGTGGGTCATTCAGAGAATGACCACCCACTCCACTCCATTCTCCTCCCATCAGCCTCCTCTCCATTTTCTTGTTTTTGTTTCTTCCGCCAGATATCAGAAAAAGAATTAGACCTGTACTCCTGCACACTAACCCACTGGCCGACCAAATGCTCCACTTTTTATTTGTTTTGGGTTTTGGGGAGCTAAATGAAAGCATAATTTTCCTTAGTTTGATGGGGACAGGGTCAACCAAAATAAAAGTAAAAACGGTTTTGCACATGTACAAGAAAGATGGTTGAGAAGTTCAACTAATAGCTAAGCGACAGCGGACAGTAGGAGATCCACCCGCGATTCTCTGAATGACCCACACGCCTGACAGTGGGAGATCCACCCGCGATTCTCTGAATGACCCACACGCCTGACAGTAAGAGATCCACCCGCGATCCTCTGAATGACCCACACGCCTGACAGTAAGAGATCCACCCGCGATTCTCTGAATGACCCACATGCCTGACAGTGGGAGATCCACCTGCGATTCTCTGAATGACCCACATGCCTGACAGTGGGAGGGGTCTCACGTGCTTGATCCAGTGTGAGGAGGAGGAGCTGTGTGTTTGTATTAAGTGGACTTTATGCTGGAAACGCGCACAGTTGTACGAGGCACCTTTGTCACTCATCTGTTCCTCTGGTTGGTTTTATGGTATATGTATGTATGTAAGAATGTCTTCGTCTTACATGGTGTTTACCTTTCAGCACATGTTAATACTTAACGATATCGTCCAATGTCCATATTTGATCCGATACATGTATTTGTTGCAGTGTGTATTTCTATGCAGTGTGTAAATTTGACCGGAGTTATATTTGAAATATTTTTAAGCCGTGGTGTTATTAACGACGTTGACACTTTTACCGCAGATTTCCGGCATATACTTCAGTCATGGCTCTTTCTACATGTAAGAAAACTCCTTCCGAGAAAACACCGATTTTCCAGAAGACTCCTGAGGGCCTGGTGTACAGGATCCCATCACTGATCTACATTGAGGACAGTCACACATTGCTGGCCTTTGCAGAGGAGCGCACCTCTCCATCTGATAATCATGCGAAGAGCCTCGTCTCGCGGGAGGGGAAGGTATCCGCCGATAAAACCATTGAGGTAATGGTAGCAGCACCCCCACTCGTATTTTCAGATCGGGGGGGACACTCCTGCACTCTTAGGTGCCCTGTTTTACCCACGTTTCTTCTGAGCAACTTTTTAACACTTTAATCCCTCCCCCCCTCAGTGGTCACCCTTACAAAGGCTGGAATCAGCAAGTTTGCCGGGTCATCGCACCATGAACCCCTGCCCAGTGTATGAGAAGAGCTCCAAAACGATCTTCCTCTTCTTCATCTGCGTCGAGAATGGGATTTCGGAACAGCAGCAGATTATAACCGGTAAAAATGCTGCCAGACTTTGCTGTGTCACCAGAAAAGAGGGAGAGCAGGAATGGAGCGCCGTGAACGATCTGACTGAGATTGTGATCGGAGCAGAGATTGCCCAGTGGGCCACGTTTGCTGTGGGGCCTGGACACGGCATCCAGCTGGCGAGTGGGAGGTTGGTGATTCCGGCCTACAGGTACCCCGGGACCAACAGGAACCCGCTAAGTGCCCGGCCCTATGCCTTCTACTTCTACAGCGATGACATGGGTAAGATTTGGAAGCTGAGTCAGAAAATTAAAGAAGAGTCCGGGGAGTGTGAGATGGCTGAGACCGTGGATGACAGCGGCCAGACCTTCCTGTACTGCAACGCCCGAAGCAAGCACAAAAATTATAGACTGGAGGCTTGGGGGGAAAGTGAAGAGGTCTGCTTCACGGAGTCCCACTTGGTTCCGGAGCTGGTAGAGTCGTGGGCCGGGTGCCAGGGCAGCGTGGTGAGCCTTCCTGTGCCAGAATCCCATGCAGGCTCAGGCACCGGGTCCTGGCTGCTCTTCTCCCATCCCACCAGTACCAAGGGCAGGCTGGACCTGGGGATCTACCTGAACAAGAACCCCTTCCAGCAGTCGAGCTGGGAGCAGCCCTTGGTGCTGAACCCCGGGCCCAGCGGATACTCCGACCTGGCGTCCTGTGCTGATTACGGCTTCTTCGCCTGTCTGGTGGAGTGCGGTGAGGAACGGGAGACTGAGCAGATAGCTCTGCTGCGCTTTAGCCTTGATGATGTGCTGAAAGCTCCTGGTGAGGAAGCAAGCAGATCTCACCACTGCACCTTAGTCAAATGAAGTGCTGATGGCTACTGGTGACAGAGCCTAGGTTTGACCATCTCTATCTTCATCTGTTCTTTCATATCTCCTTAATAATAATAACTTTTATTTGTATAGTACCTTTCATACATACATGCAGCCCAAAGTGCTTTACAGAAATGATGAAACTCTGTTTAAGGTAAAAAGAGACAAAAGAAATAAAATTAAATAAGAGGAATACCTAGAACAAAAAGAAAATGAATAATTATCATAGAGAATAAAATAGAAATAAGGTGGCAAATATAGACTTAAAAGGTAATAAAATAAAACAAGATTAAAAACAGATCTACAATAGGATCCAGTATATCTGTGAAAGGTGGATAAGTCGTCCAGCACGATAAATGAATGTATAACAACTTACAGCAGATAGAAGGAGAATAGGATTGGACACGGTAGACAAAAGCAAAGTAGGCATGCTGGAACTAATGAACCAATAAAATGTGTGTATTTGTGTTGTCACAAAAGCAAAATCATGACTTCAATACGATACCTGCCTAAAATATTTTGATGCCGATACTGAAACGATATCACAGTTAAAAGTTAAAACATCAAGAAAATTAATGGATAAATAGATGACAGAACATGGAACTTCAAATGATTTGTTTTTTTTTATTAATTAAATAAGCCTAACAACATATGTTGTCAATCAGTTAATCAGATACAATATAGCCTATTTTGTGATGAGCTGTTAGTTGTGGGTTTTTAACAAACATGAGTAGCTAAGGTACAATGTTGAGAGACTTATTCTATAGTTCAAAAACAAATATCATTTATCTCACCTGACTTATATGAGTGGTATTTAGCTTACTCCATAGCACTATGTAGCCTAAATAATGCACTACCTTTTGACATATAGGAACACAAGCCTTTCAGGTCGATTTTATGCAAAAAGTGAATGAATCAGAATGAATCTTTTAGGTGAATTGAATCAAACTAAGTGTCCCAAAAAAGGGTCATTTCACCCGTCACTGCTCTCCTGTCTGTGAAAGCTTCGAGATTCCGGCATGAATGTTAGGTTCTGCACTGTGGAAAGAGGACCTCAGCACAGAGTCTACTGTGATGCCCCCGTCACTCTCCTGTCTGTGAAAGCTTCGAGATTCCACCATGAATCTTAGGTCCTGCACTGTGGAAAGAGGACCTCAGCACAGAGTCTACTGTGATGCCCCCGTCACTCTCCTGCAACCACTTAAAAATTCTTGAAGAGTTCCAAAAAAACTGCTGCGAGTGTGATTTTTATGTACACGTATAACATGGAAGAACTGCTTTAAAAATAAAATCACGTTAAGTCAAACAGTAGGATTTAGTTTCTCTGTTCTATTTATTTTACCTAGTGTGAAATAATTATTGATTCGATCTACAATTTTAAAACAATACATTTTGTTGAACCAATTCAACAGTTCTTAAATGCAAGGTTTTTCGTAAAACAGACGCAAAGCGAAGCTACAGGCTAATAGCATCCTGGTAGCTGCCAGTGAGCTAAAACCGGCAAATATACCAATAAGCAATTTAGTATCGTTTCACTTTTACAGCTAGAATTGGCAAAATCACATGTAAAGCTCAGCTTTGTGAAACTGCTTATCCTGTAAGCAGGGCTGCCCAATTCTGACCTAATCAGTACAGCCCTAATTTAACACACCTGATACAGATAATCAGTCTCGGCCAAAGGTTCCTCCCCGTGTTGTCATGGCGTTTTCTCCGGGTTCTCCGGTTTTGCCCCACAGTCCACCCCATCCTGGGTTGTTCCCTGCCTTGCGCTTATAGCCTCCAGGGTAAGTCGATCGTGTACAGCAGGGCCGCCCAGACCTGCTCCTGGAGAGCTACCAGTCATGTGTGGGGCAACAGTACTAACCAGCGTGCCACCCCCTCTCGCTCATTCCTTATCGATTTATTACACAGTGGGAAGATAAAATGAAGAAAACAATCCGAAAGTCAACAAAGTAGTTTACTTGGAGTTTGTATGTGTTTGACGATCCGCAGTCCATAGGAGCTGCTATTTCGCTGCTGCCCATTGGACCTCCTTTCAGTCAGTGAGCGAAGAAAAAAAATAAAACAATGCGACCGGTCACTCACAGCTCCAGCGACCTGGAGAGAGTCTCCCTCCTGCGATATCAGGACTCCCTGGAAGAAAAGTCAGGACTCCCTGGAAGAAGAGTCAGGACTCCCTGGAAGAAGAGTTATTGTAACTCAATGGGACCTTCCTGGTTAAATAAAGGTTTAATAAATAAATCCAGCATTCAAAAGTCCCATCATGAATCCCAAACAAGAGCTTCCCCGGTCCGTCCTCCCACACTCCGCTCTACCACGTGCCCCCACGTCGCTTCCGCGCTCACACAGTCAATAAGAGAAATACACGAACGGGTCACAAACCAAAGTACTATGCAGGAAACATCTCCTAGATGCACTGAGATGCATCCTCAGTGATGTACCCTGAGGTCATTGGGTTTCGGGCTTCACAGCCTCACACGCCATCACCCAGGTGACCCAGGGGGTTGATCAGGCCCCAACCTGCATCCCAACAGCCATCCACAGATCAACCCTCTTCAACCAAAGCACCTCGTGGCTTCCTCTGCGGCTTGAATGGCCCTCCTCTTAGCCGCTCCTGTGATACCCAGCCATGTGAGGACTCTGCAGAGCGATCGTCCTGCAAATCCTCTACAGCCGACTTCTATGGGCTCACAGAGTGTCCTCCAGCCACGTTCCCTGCATTCCTCCACTAGCTCCCGGTAGCTTCCTCAACACGCTCTTGCCAGGGCACTGTCAGCTCCAGCATGATAAGTTGTTTCAAGGCCTCAGAGGTGATGATCATGTCTGGCCGGAGTGATGTGGTGACAATGTGCTGTGGGAACTTTAGCTGCTTTCCCAGGTTAGCCTGCAGCGGTGTGGAGGAGGCCTGTTTTCACTCTTCCCTGTGCCCAGGACTTCGCTCCAGCTCTGATGAAGGTAACTGCCTTCTTAGGAGCCTGGTGGTACCTGCTGGCGTTTATGACTGAGACCAAACTCTCAGCAACTGCCTTGAGTACCTGCTCATGGCGCCAGCATCCGCGAGGGCCTTCGGGCAGCTGCTAAGGAGATGTTCTAGGGAGCTTCTATCTGAGCAAAGTGGACAGGAAGGCGTCTCACTCTTCTCCCAGACATGCAGTTACATTAACAATAAATTTTAACCGCTCACCCCTCACACGTCAGTGTTTATGCACTAGGGATGCTACACTCTCCCCTCAACACAAATTACCATGCCCTCACGACAAGAGAGAATTGTTTTTCTTTAAGCAAAATAAACCTTAGTGTTTAGCCAATATCATAAAAATCACACACTTATCCTTAACTGGCCCATTTATACAAGGTGCTTATGTATGGGAGGTGTGGTGGTGAGGAGGTGCTTATGTATGGGAGGTGTGGTGGTGAGGTGTCTCATTGCCAACTCAGGTATCCTTTCAGGCTGAAGATGCACATCTCCTCCAAGTTATTTCTGTGCGTTATCTTCTTTGGACCCTCTCCACTCTCTACCTTAATCTGAAAACTGGCAGACCTGGCAGTTGACGCTCTACTACATAGGGGGTCGACGCCCATTGGTCAGCCAGTTTGTGTTTTCCTTGCAGCCCAAGTTTCCATATCAAGACTTGATCTCCAGCAGCCAGTGAAAAGTAGCAAACTCTCTGATCATACTGGTATTTATTGTTCCCATTCTTTCTCTCTGTCTTACTCTCAGCTGTGCAGTTATATGTATGGATGAAGTGACTGATGGACTGACTCCATCTGCTCTTTTCCTTAGGATCTAAGGTTCCCAGCATGTGGAGCAGTGGATCACCCTGAGGATGATATGGGGTGGTCCTCGATTTCCTCACTCCCAACATACTGGGCAATTCATGAATGAGGCAGCTTTCAAAGTTTCTACACTGGTCAGAATGTCCTCTTTTGGGTCAGCCATAGCGGACACTACTGGGCGACAGCAGCTGCTGTCTGGTCTTCAGTGGGAAATACCATTATGACCAGAATGTTGGAGACATTCTTGGAGTCAGGCTCAATGAAGAAGGAGTCCATGCAAATAAGATCCATGGCGCCATCACTGGTCAAGTGACTTAATTCTGCAGATTCTGTAGTTTTCCTCTGAATGCAACGTGAGCATCCTGCAATACTTCCCCACTTCAACCTTCATTGGAGGCCAATAGAATCTTGCTCGGACTAAACCATAGGTTTTATCAAACCCCAAATGACCGCAGCACTAGTCCCCTAAATTTCTGAGAAAGCACCATCTCTTGGCTCCGTGGCTTGTTGGGAAATTTACTGACCCTGTACACGACATCGTCATTTACCTTGAACCTCTCCCAGTCTTTGAGTAGTAATGACACATCCTTATGTCTGTGCCTGTCAGCCTTAGTGATGTTATTTTCCCTTCTCTCGCTGGTTCAATGCTGGCGGCTGCTGGGTGTTCACTTTTAGCACACCGCAGTATGCTTGAAGCACGACATCACTATCCGCTATTGAACACTCACCAAGCAATAAATATAACTAACCACAAACAGTCTTGACAGCACATGACAGGATTTTAATTTTTTTTTGCCGCAGCCTATTGTAGCACCAGGCGAGCCGACACATCGCCAGAGCAGCGAAAGACAAGGAGACTTGCTTGCCGGGGTAGAACAGGCTCTTTATTAACAGTCCTTAACATAACTACAACAGGCACTCAACCCTCCTAATGCACACAGCCAAAACACAGGGTGGTCAGACGCCGAAGTGTAAGGTGTATACCCGGTACGGGGTATATACAAAGGTTAAATACACGAGCGCTCACGCACAGATCTCACCGGCGCTACACTATAAACGAATCACATACACCAAAATACATTAACAATAAAGAAATTATTACCACTCACCTCGTACATCAGTATTTATATACCAGGGGTGATACCCATATAGCATAATGCAGAAAACGTATTAAAGATGCTATGTATAGTTTCTGTAGACCAGTGTCCCCCAGTTAAGCTTATTTTCCCCCAAAGGGCCAAATTCTATCAACAATATAAAGTCAAGGGCCACTGCCCCCAATTAAATTTGTTGAGCATTCGCTTGATTTTCCCCTGCTGGTTACATACTATAATATCACATGGAAGGGTCACATGCGACCTTTGATCATTTCCAGGTTTTTTTTACAGGTGTTGTTCGACATTTTAAAAAAGACGTTTACACGTCAGTCGGTGAGCATTTTTTTCGTTTGCCGTATTAAAATGAAACGTAGACCGTTTTCTGCATTGTATTGTTACAGAAACGCAAGGCGGCGCTGTCGCCCATCAGCATGGGTGTGTTTCACCGCCCCAAACCGCTCTCATCGTCTCCAGCATCCTGGGCGCCCCAAACCGCCTTGGGCTCAGAGGTGCAGGGACCCGCGATCATTCAGTCACAGCCTCAGCATCTCTCCCGCGACAATAAATATATGATGCAAAAGTGTGTCAGAACCATGACCGACAGGTACCAGAGGGCGGCCCGGGACGGACACCTGGGTTTGCTGAAGGAGGCGACGCGCAGGGACCTAAACGGGCCGGACGAAGACGGCATGACACCGGCGCTCTGGGCCGCCTATCACGGCAATCTCGCGGCGCTGCGTCTCATCGCTGGGAAAGGGTAAGTGCATGGGGGCGGTCAGCGAGCCGGACCGGGTTAGAACCTCCCCGTCTTTTGGAAGAGTTGTCTGATGCTTTTATCGTTATGCTATTAGTTTAGGAATCGCACTTAAATGTCCTGTAATATAATAGATACATTTTTAATTGACACAACCGCAGACTTTACTTCAAGGAAATAAACTATCGAATAATTATCATTATCCAGAATAGACGGTGGTCAGAACGATGATGATGAAAATAAAGCAAAACGGAAAATCCATTTCGATACTTATAAGAACTTTACAACGGTTGGAAAGGATAACTCTTTAGTAATGTTATTACATATTTTAAGAAGGACAGAGATGGAGCAACGTGTTTGCTTTGAATGTTGTACTTAAGTATCAATTAGTATTAAAATATTGTGAATACAACTGAGGTGCGTGAGGGTCCATCTCTGCTAAAGTCAGCAAGAACCTAAGTGATCAAAACAGGTTAAATAAGGGAGGGAGTGAGACTGACCCACATCGCTGAATTATCTAACGCAACCCCCTGCCAATCTATGTACACTTTAAAAGGCCGTTTTACAAGCGGACGGAGGGGCGATCTGGCTAAACTGCACTGGGCGCAGCTGGCGGCGTTAACCTGATGGATATACTCGCTCACTCGAGTCCAGGATTTATCGTTTCCAGGACACGATTTCCAATTACTCCCCATAGTGACAAGCCACAGGCGTTTGGATTTTAATAGAGAGCAAATTGAGCAGAAAGGTGACTCGGTGGGCGGGGCCCCGCGGGGTCTGTGTGCGTCAAACCGCGTGGCATGGGCAGCACATGGATGCCGTACCTCCTGTGGGGAAAATGGCAAGAACAGCACCTTTGAAAATATAACATTCAAAGGCACCATCAGGAACCCCCCCCCCCCCCTTGTAATATAACTCCACCACTGTCTGCAAGCTGCATTCCTTCTCCCCAAAGATGTTTGAGGCATTATTTCAGCCTGCTTGCATCCATCTCATTTTAGCTCCCTGTGAAATTGATTTTATTTCTATACTTGATATAGATTTTAATTTAATTTTAGCTGGTTAGTTATTATTATTATTAGTGACCAGTTACCGAGCACTTTTGAAGAAGCATTGAGGTCCTTCTTTCAATAGCCCAATTAAGCCAATTAAACCAACCAATCAGCCAATTAAACCCATGGAAATTGTTTGTATGATATTTATTTTGGGTTATACTTAGTGGGCTTGTAGATCAGGGATGTGCTGCACAGCTGGGGCCTGACAAAGGTGACTGAGAAGGTCCCTTGGTGTCACGGAGTCACGACTGCGATAAGGAGGCGTGCAGTAAGTATTGCGATGCGTCACACCTGAGCAGACGGCCATAAATGTAATTGGTCTCTCAAATGTCACCAGATTGGGTAAAGTGACCTTTACCCGCCCCCCCCTTCATTTGAGAGATTGAGCTGCACCCTTCACAGTGCCTGCCCTGGTACAATGTTGAGTGGGCTAATATCGGGCATGGCGATCTCCGTCATGGGGGTTTAGTGAGCGTGCCTTATGGGGAGAGTGCCTAATTAGAGACCCCCCAACACCAAGACCTCAGTGCTCTGCCAGCAGTGACCAGCAGAGCCCCTTATCACCACCAAGCTGTATGGAAACAGGAGAGGCTGCATTGTCCAGCGTTTCAAAGGCCAGTGCAGGTAAGTCCACATATCTTCAACCCATTTTGGGTTTCTCTGCTTTATCCAAAGGGGTGAAGTGTGGAGGATCCCATTCCCCCCCCCCCCTTTTGGAGCACCCCTTTCCCCACCTAAGTGAGAAAATCCGATATCTTTTCACGATCCTGTGATCTCAGATATGACAGGTCTTCTTGTGGCCATTAAGTCGAGGCACATGGGGAGCTGTAAAAGCTGCCTGCTCATTCTTATGGGCGGGGCCTGACAATGAAAATGGCCGCCGCCTCTTGAGCCTCGAAATGGGACTCTGGCCCGGTCTTATCGGCTCCGACGGCCAGAATGGCGCAATGCGCCGAAACCTGATTAATTCTGAGCTTTTTCTTAAGTATCTCCTTAATTATCATCTTTATGATTGTTGCTCCTCCCACACTCCTCCCCCCATACCCCGCCTTGCCTGCACAGGGGTGACCTGGACAAGTGTGACATCTGGGGCAGCACCCCGCTCCACCTGGCAGCGGCCAACGGCCACCTGAACTGCGTCTCTTTCCTGGTGTCGTTCGGCACTAATGTCTGGTGCCTGGACAACGATTCCCACACTGCTCTGGAGGTGGCGGCCTCGCGGGGCCACATCAACTGCGTGCGTTACCTGGACTCAGTGGTAGCCAGGCAGGAGGGGCTGAACCCCAAGCTGGTGGGCAAGCTGAAGGAGCGGGCGCAGAGCGCCATGCAGCGCCGGACCCGCGCCGGGCAGAACGCATGGCGTGAGCACCAGGACCTCTTGGAGCGTTATGACTATTGGGGTGGGCAAGATGCCATGAGCTTCTATAGTTACACCAGCAGCAAGACCTTTGGCATCAGCACCTCCAGAATCTCCCTTTCCCAGGTCAGCTGACCCCCTGCCGCCTCAACCCTCTGCTTACTCTCATCCAGCCTTTTCTGTCACTGGTAATTGCACTGAACATCCAGCAGGGGGAGCCAAAGACACACTACTTGACTCCACAAATGAAGACCATGTGTTCTTTGTGGCTTGACGGTGGGGTGGGGGGTGTTGATAGGACTTTCTAATAAAATCAGACGTAGAGGCAGGGTGAGTTGCTGTGATGCTCCTGTGATGAGTTTGCGCCGGTTGATTCACACACTTTGTTTTCAATGTATCACTGTCACACTCTGAAGCAGCACAAGGCTGTCTGCTCCCCTCCGTGCTCCCCTCTGTGCTCCCCTCCGTGCTCCCCTCCGTGCTCCCCTCTGTGCTCCCCTCTGTGCTCCCCTGTCTGCTCCCCTCCGTGCTCCCCTCCGTGCTCCCCTCCATGCTCCCCTCCGTGCTCCCCTGTCTGCTCCCCTCCGTGCTCCCCTCCGTGCTCCCCTCTGTGCTCCCCTCCGTGCTCCCCTCAGTGCTCCCCTCCGTGCTCCCCTGCGTGATTCGCTTTAGGCAGAATCATCTGCTAAATAAAAATAAATGTAAATGCAGTAAAACGTATTCATTTTGCAGCAAGCTGACTCTCCTCTGTTCCTGCAGGCCACCTTGCAGTCTGTCGCCAAGGGCAAGGCCAAGATCCAGAAGATGCTGCAAAGGAGGAAGCAGGTGGCGGGGGCCTTCGCTGTGGCCGAGGACGCCCCCCCCCCTGCCGGGCTCACCAGGGCATATGATGTCATGTTCCCTTCTCACACGTGCCCCAGGGACCCCCTGTTTCGCCCCAGAGCCTGTGACATGTTCCCCTTTGGTGACAGCGATGCCATATCCCGCGCCGTGAGTGACCCGGGCCTGTGTGTGGCCGAGCTGGTCGGCTCGCAGGCCAGGATGGACTTGGGCTACGAATCGCTTTTCAGTCGGCCCGGAATGGGGACCGTGATGTTCAGACGCACCTACTGCCCTGGTGCAGGGACCGGAGCCACTGTGCCGGGCCGCAGGATGGTGGGGACCGGGCCGGCGCTGTGGCGCTCTCCTAGCCTGGACAGCTGCCTGCTGGAGTGGGACCAGAGGGAGGCACCGTGGGGGTCACGGCTGAGCCTAGGGGCGGATGCCGGTGGCGATGATGCCTCTCCTCTGGAGGCCTTCCTGGCTGCGTGGGGAGCCAGTGAATTCCTGCCCGTGTTCCAGCAGGAGAAGATCACCCTGGATGTCCTGCTGATTTGCTCCGACCACGACCTCGAGGGAGTCCGCATCCCACTGGGACCCCGTCGGAAAATCATGGAAGGTTGCCGACGGAGACGAGAGGCACTGCAGGACCCTGGCGACCTCCAGGACACAAAGCTGTGAGGAGTGTGTGTGTGTGTGTGTGTGTGTGTGTGTGTGGATTAGGTTTAGTGTCCCCCAAAGTGTAATAAAATCACAAATACCTGTGAATGCTGCCAAAAAACGAAAAATGCCATAAGCTCAGAGTAAAAAAGAAGAAACAGATTTATGGCGCCCTCTGTTGGACATGACAGTACCCAGGTCTCACAGACAGAAGGAAAATATATCTTCACATGCATTGGATCACTCAACAGAGCTCTGTGAACATTAGAATCAAATGAATTCATTATTACTGAAAGTGCATGCAAGTGTTTCATTTTTAGTCTTTACCCTACATTTTGGTCTATGTATGTGTTTGCCTGGACATGGGGGTCATCTGTACGACGCTGACTGGATTTCAGCAACACTGGCTCCACCCATTTCGATTGTTTAGCGGTAACTGGAAGAGCATTCTTCAGCTGAATCGCTGCCCATGGTCATGGGTGGGACCTTACAAAATCCAGATGTGAAGTAGGGCTGTCCTTATTGGTCAATATATATCAGTAATTGAACAATGTACCGATTAACCTGACGATCCATCGTGTATATAATGTAAAAGATACATTGCATTTGCCACAAGGCAGGATCCATCCAACCATTGTAGGGTCACACACACGGTCAATTTAAGGCATTTAAGTTGCATGTTTCTGGACGGTGGAAGGAAACCGGAGACTCTGGCAATAAGCCACGCCCATCCGGGGTGAACGCGCAAACTCCACACACACACAATCACTTTAATTTCACATTCATCTGCTATGCACCGTCTCCCTTCTGGCATATCGCTGAGTACTCAATAACTACATTTTTTTTCGACAGCTCTAATGTGAAGGGGTACAACACTTCAAGGTCACAGTGGTGGACAGGGAGATGCCATGTTGGTCACATGATACTGTCTCTGTTATGTGATGCGTTGTTAGAGGAGGCGTTTCCTGCCTCCTCTAACCTAGTGGGGCCCCGCCCCCTTCTCCTTATGCCCCAGCTATTTCCCAGACTCAGCAGTAACATGTTGTTCTCTCTCCCGTCCATGTGTACAAGTCATACATAAGGGGCAAACGGTTATTTAAGCTCTGGCTGCCGCATGTTTACACAGAGGCTCAGATGAGGAGAGCAATGTACCCCTGTCCGCGTTGGGATGCCGCGCTGTCAAAGCGGCCGTACGCTGACTCAGCATTAGGCAGTGAGGTAACCTCACCGATGGTCCATCGATGGCCCAGGGCATGGTGGTCAGTCCCCATTCATAAGGGGGGTGTTTCTGCAGGTTCAGCACCTGTGGTCTGCCCCCTATCTTCTTCCCCTTCGCCCCTTTTACTCTTCCTCTCTGTTCCTGTCAGTATTTCTGCACATTAAAGTAAAAAAAAAAAACTTGTGAGAAGGCGATGAATGTCTTTCTTGTTTCAGCGTAACCTGAGCTGTGACGTTACTCCAGGGACTGGCTAACCCAAATCGTCCGTGGCTTTGGATCAAAGCTTCTGCTAAATGAATGAAATTAAAATATTGTTCAGAGATGGGAAGGTCGTGGATGATGTTGCGATTTCAAACATTTTTATGTAATTTTATGACCAGCAGTTTGAAAGCGGTTTCGAAACCGAATATGATCTCCAAGCGTAGACTGTTCATGTTTATCGTGGCCTTTTGTGACCATTTAATGTCAATGTATCAAATGTCTTTTGTTGAAGCAAATGAAGAGGAGCGCTTATTGTTCTGTATTCCAAACTGCTAAAGGGGGGGGGGGGGGGACTGTACAGCAAAAACTATTCCCTGATTGGTCAGAATTTATTAGCCCCTCCCCCAGTTTTGGGCCTGGGTCTAAGTGGACAGGCAAGACGGCTGGTTACCATGGTACTTTTGCCCTTAACACCAGTGGGTGGATTTGGATATTCCCCCTGCGCCCCCCACCCTCGAGGGGTCTCTCGCTTGGCACTGGGCCAATGGTGCTCACCCCGTCACATGACGCCAGGCTGCTCTCTGTCTCGTTTTCCCTCTTTCAGTCCAGCTTTCCCTCCCTGCTGAAAGAAATTACACCCCCGCCAAAGGATTTCCTGCAGGTCCTCTCCTCCTTGTCCCCTGTCCCTCCCACTTTCCAGGCTGTATGCCAAGGAGAGGAGGATGAAGGGAGGAGAGAGGAGTGGGCGGGTGGAGTGGGGGGGGCACATGCAGTATTCATGAGGGGATCAGGATCGATGGGGGGGTGGAGGGGCAGCAAAACTGGTCCTCCAGATGCACGGATCCCTCAGCACGTGCGCCGTACGGGAACAGGGAGGAATCCGCAGCGTCCCTCACTGCGAGAGGCTCTAGGAGGACAGCTGATCTCCCCGCAGTGCCGGATCTGCTCACCGGCGGGGGCTTTGCAGTGCGGCCTTGGCTGGCGGGGGAGGGGGAGTCACACTCGCGCTCGAGCAGCTCCTGTCAGATACGGCGCCGGTGCCGGGACGTCTGTGCCGCTGCCAGAACACACATACGCAAGGACAGCGCGCTGGGCTGAGCATGCAGAACGTTCCGGAAGAGTGTAGCCGGGATGCCGCCGATGACCCCTGGGAGGAAGGCGAGCGGACCCTGTTCCAGCATGGGGGGGCCCCGGGGGAGGGCAAGGCGGCCGAGGCGGCCGATCGTGAGTCGCTGATGATGGAGCTGACCCGACTGGTGCAGGCGGCCGTCCGCCGGAGCAGCTGGTGGGAGAGACGGGGACTGGACTGTGCCATCCTGACTGCGGCGTTCGCCTGCCTGCCGCCAGGTAGGACCCCCCCACCCCCTCCCCACATTCCAGCACTGAAGCGAAGGTCACAGGTAGGCAGGATGTATATCCTCAAGCATTATTTGGTTACCAGGGGTGACATGAGAAGTATAGGTCTGCAGTACAACAATGTCAGTATGCAATCCGCTTACGGTCTTCCTGGGACATCCTGGGTATAATATAATTCTGTGGTAACACAGCTTGATGCACTGGGGGGGGGCAGAAAACCATCTCTATTTAGTCTCTGGGGTATCATCCTTCTGTCCGGTGCTATTTCAGGTCGTAACGTGAGTCCTGAAATGTAGCTGTCCTCCTGAATTGGTGTGGGAACTGCGTTACATGTCCCGTACGCGACGGCAGCCCGGCTCCTGCGTGCGAGTCGGACAGAGGCTCGGCGACTCTGGGGACTCCCCTCCCCACCTGCAGAGAGAATTTTGGGAATCATTTTTGGAAAGCTGGGATGCAAAGGCTTCCAGCTCCACCTCAGACTCTCCTGAGTTCTCACAGCTAGGACTGAGTCCCTCTGCGCGCCCCCCCCCCCCCCCCCCCCCCCCC